GAGCTGAGGACTGAACCCAGGGCCTTGCACTTGCTAGGCAAGCACTCTACCACTGAGCTAAATCCCCAAACCCTCTCCACTCCTTTTTTTAATAGCTGAAGAACTAGGCTAAGAGCTGTGGACCAGTGATTCTCAAACTGGTGTTCAGGATCACCAAAGGAAGTGGTGGAGGACCCAGGACCGGCAGCAGGCTGGGAGCTAGAGTGGGAGCCCCTCCCCACCCTGCCTTTCAAATCTGCTGATAGATGAGGGGGTAGCCTCCCCCTAGTGATTTAGAGATGCCATCCCAGTCAGCTTTCAGACAAAGCCTGGCCGGAATTGCTGGGTGTCACACCTTTTTCAGCTCAGTGGATTCCACTTGTCTTCAGGGTAGATAGCTGTCCACTGACTGTTGGAAAAGGTGTTTAGTGGAGCATGAGATGTTTGGGAATCAGGATTAGACACAGTTGTGAAAGTGAGAGATGGGGCTTAGGTTTTGCAAGTGTTAAGCTTTCCAAAAAAGGAGACTGGTGCCCAGGAGAGAGTTTTTTGCCTGGGTGCTAGGCAGAGGTGGGGGAGTCTGGCCTCTAATTCACTATGTAACTATGGATGACTGAACTCCTGACCCTCCTGCCTCTGCCTGCCAAGCACTGGGATTACAGGCATGCGCTACTACACTGCTCTCTGTATTTCCTGTGTCCCATACCAGAAGTGTGGTACTGTCATACCTCTAGTGGGAGTCCAGTCCTGCCTGAGCTGCCACAGGCTGAGCTTGAGTTCCCACTGTCACCCTCTGAGTACCGTGGCATACTCTGCCATTCTAAACCTACTAGCTGCCCTTTCCTTCCTTCAGCATTCTGACAGCCCCTTTCATATTTAAGGTTCAACCAGTATAAGTTGAGCAATAACCATACTTAAAGTGTGAAGCAGCAAGCAACAGGCAAGCTCCCAGAGCCTGGGTGGTGGCACACAGACCCACCCCCTTCCCTGGCAGGCAGTAGGTAAGCAGTATTCTCAGTGTGGTGTGACTGGGAGGAGGGGGAAGTAGCTGAGATGAAGGAGAGTCAGGTAAACAGTAGCCACAGTGGCCAGGAAGCCTTAGAAAAAGCCATTACAGTCAGCCCTTTCCCCTTCCTCACAGCAAATGCTCTGTTCCCCTTCAACTCCATAACCAAGACACCTAGGTTAGCATACCTTTTACTGCCTTGCTCAGTGCCTCCACACACACATACCTTCCTTTAGGTTTTGGCAGGCAGAAATAGCCCATTCACGAGGGTGGGCCTCAGTCAGCTGCCACCCTCCTAACTCAGCCCATTGTTTATAGACACAGGCACCTTGTCGGCATTTGCCCAAGAGTGGAATGGGTCCCAGCAGCTCCTGGAGGGCCTTTGACTCCTTGCCATACTAGACGTGCACTTTTCCGTGGTCCAGGATGCTGTAGTAATCTTGGTTTCCTCTAAGAACCTTTTGCTTTGCCCAATTCCATCCCACCACCTGGGGCATCTCCTGGGCACAGACCCAAACACTAAGCCATCTCACTGGAGAGCTAGTCCTGTCCACTTGGTGTTGGCATGCTGGTTGCTTACTGTTTAGGGCCTGCACACCTGGTGTGTGCGTGCGTGCGTGTACTGTGTCCTGTCTGTGTACCCTTCACACTCTAGAGTACACTTGTGGGCACACTACAGTGGGGACATCAAGGATGCAATATTTATGGATTGCTGCATGATTTAAAAGTGAATAAAACTGTTTACAAGGGAAGGAGAACAGTTAGCTACAAAGTGGGTTCATTTGTGAAATTTCAATCTGAGTGGCTGCAGTGCCCTTAAATATTTTTATTCGCTGGGCGGGCGTGGTGGTGCACGCCTTTAATCCCAGCACTCGGGAGGCAGAGGCAGGCGGATCTCTGTGAGTTCAAGGCCAGCCTGGTCTACATAGTGATTTCTAGGACAGCTGGGGCCACAGGGAGACCGTCTCAAAAAGACCAAAAAAAATTTTTTTATTGAATAGATCTCGAGTGGAGGAATGGGAGAGGCATGCTTTTGGGTGGGAGCCCACTGCCTGGCAGAAACTTCTGCATAGACTGTGCACAAAGCCTCTGGCCCCAGCTCCATTCCTGGCTGGACAGAGCCCTACCTGCCTTTGCAGCTGCCCTAAACCGGAGAACTTCCAACAGTACAGCTCCTCAATAATTAAAGAACAGGAAAGCTGGTGACAGCAGGGAAGGCCAGGGCCCAATGTCCCTGCGGTCTTAGTTCCTGTCACCTAACTAGTTCCTGGTTCAATTAACAGAGCAAGTGGCCTCCCTAAAGGAATTTGGCAAGTTTACTCACTGGCCCTGCTTCCTAGGCGTCTGGAAGGAAAGACACCCGGGCAGATTCCGCTGGGGTGCCAGTTTCTGGGAACTTGAGCAGGAGTGCGGGAGCTGCTTACCGGGAGAGTGGGGTCACCCTATCCGCCTCGGTGTGTCTGAGAACCGCGTGGCCATTTCTGCGGATATAAGCGACAGGTGGCATCAGAGACCGGCCCCGGGGAAGACACCCGGAGTTTGGAGCGAGGAAAGGCCGCAGAAACTGACAAGGCCACTCGCAGCCCGGGGAGGACACAGTTCCCTGTGACTTGGTCCCCAGGACCCGGGGGCCCGGCCCCGCGGAGCGGTCAATGCCTCTGAGCATCAACCCCCAGGCGTGGGGGAGGGGCTTCAGGGGCGCTGACGGTTCCCGGGGCCTCGGGCGGGAGCCGCGCGCGCTCGTCCCTAGCGCGGGGCCCTCGGGCGGGAATGCGCCGAGTCCGGCCGGGCCAAGGTGGCGGGTAGGGGGCTGGGTGGCGCGGGAGAGGTCGGCCGAAGGAGGGAGTTCCAGAGAGTTGCGGCCCGAGAGAGCAGCTAAGGCCCGCGGTCTCCTTGGAGACGTGCTGGCCAATGGCAGTGGCGGAAGCTGTTTATAGGGGCGGAGCGTCGCCATGGCAGCAGGAGAAGCCTTCCGAGCGTCTATTTAATGCCAGTCCCCCGGCCGCCGACGCTCAGAGAAGCGCTGTCCGGCCGGGGGTGGGGGGCAAGAGGGTCCCCGGCAGAGCCCTCGAGCTGGGGACAGAGAGCCGCGGGAGGTGGGAGGAACTTCCAGAACCTTTCTCTGGCCGGGCTGCGCTCGGAGCCAGGTAAGGAACCGGGAAGGCTGCGGGGCACCGGCAGGGCGTCGGCACCCTCTGGACATCCGCGGTCCCCGACGGAAGTGATGGGGCCAGCGGCTGACAGCCGAGGACTTTGGGGGAACTCGCTTCCCGCCCCTCCACAACTCTCTGTCCTATTTCCTTCCTTTCCCGGAACTTCATCCTAGTATCTCTTCAAGGATCGGACGACCTCCCTATCCAGCCCCTTAGCGCTCTCTCGCTCTCTCTCTCTCTCTCTCTCTCTCTCTCTCTCTCTCTCTCTCTCTCTCCTCTCTATCTCTCTCTCTCCTCTCTATCTATCTCTCTCTCCTCCCTATCTATCTATCTATCTATCTATCTATCTATCTATCTATCTATCTATCATCATCTATCTATCTCTATATCTCTCTTTTCCGGGCGGGAAATCCGCATTTCCCACTTCTGGGAGAACGCGCTGGGCCGCCCAACTCGCTTCCTTTGTCGTGGCCAATGAAACCTCGAAGGGCAGATGGAGAGGTGGAGTGGCGGGGCCGGGCTGGGCCTCGCTGAGGGTCGCAGGGGCGAAAGTGGTGAGGCACCCTCCCTAGGCGCACGCCCTCCCCTCGGGCTTGCAGGGACAGCGCTCAGCCCCGCCGTGCTCCCGCAGGCCCCCGCTTTGGTATTCGGAAGAGGCGACCCCTGGGTCGCGGGATGGAAGTGCGCGTTCCAGAGGCCGTGTAACCCAAGCCGCGGGTGCCAGCGGACCGGAGAGCGCAGAGGGCCACCCCGGCTCAGCCCGTGGATGGTGACCGCCCCCTCGGAGCGTCCCCGCAGACATGGCGCAAAGCTGGCTGCGCCTCTCCGGAGCAGGGCCAGCGGAGGAGGCCCGGCCCGAGGCCGGCATGGAGGAGCCCGATGCCCTGGATGATAGCCTGACCAGCCTGCAGTGGCTGCAGGAATTCTCCATTCTCAACGCCAAGGCCCCCACCCTGCCCCCGGGGGTCACTGACCCCCACGGCTACCACCAGGTGCCGGGCTGCGTGGCTCCCGGGTCGCCCCTCGCGGCCGACCCCGCCAGCCTCGGGCAGCCGCACACGCCAGGCAAGCCCACCTCGTCGCGAAGCGCGCCCCCGGGGCTGCAGGCCCCGCCCCCCGACGACGTGGACTATACCACCAACCCGCACGTGAAGCCGCCCTACTCGTACGCCACGCTCATCTGCATGGCCATGCAGGCCAGCAAGGCCACCAAGATTACCCTGTCGGCCATCTACAAGTGGATCACGGACAACTTCTGCTACTTCCGCCACGCTGATCCCACCTGGCAGGTAGGGGAGGTGCGGGTGGCCGCTCCCTTCCCACTGTCTCCTCCCTGCATCTCAGCTGGACCCTCATCCCAAATCTACGAGGCCCAGGAGGCATCTGGCTGTGCCCTGCCCACTGCTTGAAACCTCAGAGAGGAAGGAGGGAGAATGTCCTGGGCCCTGAGGGCTTTAGGGGGCCAGATATGGAGCGAAGGGGGGTGGGGTTGAGGAGGGCATATTCATCCAGCAGTCACCTTTAGTCTCCAGGGAGGATGATGGGCTAAGGGCACATTCTTATCCCAAGTCCTAGAATTCCTAGACACTATTCTACCAAGGACAGTTGGTCAGAACTGAACTCAGAAATGGAACCCAGTGTTCTTCACCCTGTAAATTGGCTCAGAGAGTAGGGCAGAGATGAGCCCTGTGGGTGAAGATCAGTTGTCCAGGTGGAGGGGTCATGAGGTCATCCTAAAGCCACTGACCCAGCCCCCACCTCAACTCTTCCCCTGTTTCCTACTTCCATCACCACCCCCCTTCTCAGCCAGCCTCCCTGGGGGGACAATTACCTGCACCAGGTGCTTTCCACAGGGGCTCTGCTGCTACACAGGCTTCATGTTCCAAGTCTCCGGAACCTGGCACAGAGCAGCCAAGGGGCCCAGACCTCCATGTAAACATCCCAGCCTTGCTGACCATTGGGGGCACCCACTACCCACCCACCTGCCCTGCTATTCCAAACTGGACCCCTGTGTCCCAGCATGGTGTGGACAGAACTAAGCACCTAAGAATGGAGGCAGCAGGGTGGTGGGTTTGAGGCCGAGAATATTGCTCTGAAAGTCTCCCAACATCGGAATCTGGGAGTTGCTGTAGGCAGAGGCCTAAGGTTGCCCACTCATCCCTGGGGTACTTCGGGAGTCAGGGTACAAGATCTCAGTCCCAAGCTATCCCAAATGTCCCTAATCCTGGGACTCCACCCTATCCTTTCCCTACCCTAGGCCTGTGCAGCTCAGGCCCAAGAAATGAGCCTTATGCTCTTGGCTGGGTAATAATCAACTGAACCTGGGGTGGGAAGAGAAGGCTGTGGTGGGTGAAGGCCAGCAGCCGGCTCCACAAACAAGGAGTCACCAGATCCTCCCATCACACACACACACACACACACACACACACACACACACACACACACACATACAATCCTTGGGCACCAAACCCTCTCCCTTGACCCACTCACTTCACAAACAGAGAAGACCAGCCAGCGGACAGAGATGGCAGTCCAGGCCCTGGGGGAGCTGAGGGATTTGGCCAGGGGCTGCAAGCAACAGGGTAAGGGAAGGAGGGAGGGCCACAGGGGGTGGCACTGACAGCCACCCTGTGGCTCAGAGCTCGGATGACTGAGCAGACAGATATCCTGGCAACAGAGAACAAAAGCGACGCCCCCCCACGCGTACTCCAAGCTCCCCCATGCCCTGTGGCTGGTGTCCCAGAGTCTCTGAGTTACAGCTGCCTGGTCAGGGCACCTCCCCCATTAGAGAAAAGATGCAGGGGTTATGATGCAGGAGGCCTGGGTGCCTCTCCACTGCTGCCCATCTGATCCAGCTGTTCTTTCTTGTTCTCTGCTTGTGCCCAGAATTCCATTCGTCACAACCTGTCCCTGAACAAGTGCTTCATCAAAGTGCCTCGGGAGAAGGATGAGCCCGGCAAGGGGGGCTTCTGGCGCATTGACCCCCAATATGCAGAGCGCCTGCTCAGTGGGGCCTTCAAGAAGCGGCGGCTACCCCCCGTCCATATCCACCCAGCCTTTGCCCGCCAGGCCTCACAGGAGCCCAGCACTGCCCCCTGGGGTGGACCTCTGACCGTGAATGCGGAGGCCCAGCAGCTGCTGCAGGAGTTTGAGGAGGCCACAGGGGAGGCAGGCTGGGGCACAGGAGAGGGCAGGCTGGGGCATAAGCGCAAGCAGCCGCTGCCTAAGCGGGTGGCCAAGGTCTTGCGGCCCCCCAGCACATTGCTGCTGACCCAGGAGGAGCAGGGTGAGCTGGAACCTCTCAAAGGCAACTTTGACTGGGAGGCCATCTTTGAGGCTGGCACTCTGGGTGGGGAGCTGAGCTCACTGGAAGCCCTGGAGCTAAGTCCACCACTGAGCCCCGCCTCTCATGGGGACGTGGACCTTACTGTCCATGGCCGCCACATCGACTGCCCCACTACCTGGGGACCTCCTGTAGAGCAGGCTGTGGACAGCCTGGACTTCAATGAGACCTTCCTGGCCACAACCTTCCTGCAGCATCCCTGGGATGAGAACGGTAGTAGCTGCCTGCCCCCAGAGCCCCTCTTTGAAGCAGGGGATGCCAGCCTGGCCGCTGACCTGCAGGACTGGGCCAGCGTGGGTGCTTTCTTGTAAGAGTCCAGGCCCCACCCCATCTCTGGACAGTGCCCAAGTCAGGGCCCAGAACTGCTCCTCAAGACAGGCCTATGGACATCTCTGGCAGGGACTGGGCCAGGTCTCTGAAGGCTGGCTCCAGGAGGTCACACTGCTGCTAGGGTGTCCTCACATTCAAGCCCGAAAGGCTGGGATCCAGGGGCCTAGGACCAGAATTGCTGCCTCCCCTCATCAGCACCTCCCTCCCTGCCACCCATACACACAGTGTTTCATTGATCCATATTCCTTCAACCCTAAGAACTGGCAAAACAAGGGCTCTGCACCATGAGAGCTGAGGCCTGGAGGGCCCCTGCCACACCAGGGAGGAACAGAACAGGCCTTCATCAGAGCTCTGCTCCACCTCACCTGCTCACTCCTGCTTCCCCAGGTCTCTATCTAGAGAAAGTTCCCAGGTACAACAAATGCTAATTAGATGACTGCAAATTAACCCCCTGGAGGCCCCTCCTGGCAGAGCCTCCCCAGGGGCCCCTGGCAGCCTTGACTGGAGAGGAGCTGGCAGGAGATGGACTGGGGGAGGGGAACAGAGAGGAGGCAGCAAGGTGGGGCAAGATGTTTCCTAAGGCCTTTAGGGCCTTTACCTGGCCCCATCCTTAGGGGTAGAAGGGAAACTATAAATCTTGGAGCCTGACTTGAGGCTGAGAGCAGCAGGAAGTCGGGGTTTGGGGGGGAGGTTGGGGCAGTCCAGCTGCAGGGTGGGAGGACAGACAGATGGACTAATGTAGTGAGTATAGCTATAGCTAAGACTTAACTGGGAGGGACGCCCAGCTTGCTGGAAACACTGGAACAGGAAAGAGGCAGCCCTATATCCCTGCCTGTGTTAGCAGGGAGCCAGGTCTCACTCCATCCTGACCCCTGGGGCTGGGACCCACATCTACCCTCCACGTGGGGCAATTTAACATTTTTCATGGAAAGTTCTTTACAATAAAAAATTTTGGAAATAAAATTTTTGAAAATCTGAACATGGTCCTCCTTACAGTTTGTTTGGGGAAGGAGATAGCCAAGTTGCGGTGGCTTTAGGGGGAGGTGTTAAGTACTTTTCTTCAAATACATCTGCCAAGGGGGATATGGTCCGGAAGGTGGGGAACTCTTGAGGAACTCCCCTTGACCTGTGTCCCTGGGAAGGAAAGGGCCCAGAGGTGGCTTTCTCAGGAGCCTGTGCATTCCAGACCTCAGCGCCTCCATCTGTGCAATGGGAGAGTTGTGCCCACAGCCTCAGGGGAGCAAGAGACAAGAAAGAGGTTGGCACCACCTCACCCCAGGGATTCACAAAGGCCAGTGTGCCCTGGTTCAAGCCATCCCCCACCACGAGAGGGCCTGCCCAGGCTCGCCCGCCCAAGTCCGCATCCCTGACCTGGGCCTGTTTCCAGTACTACCCTCCTTCAGTCTCTCCTTGAAGGGACAAGGGCTGAAGTCAGAGAAGCCGCAGCCTCAGGGCTCTACTCCCCACTCTGCGTTTACCAGACACAGTCCAGTGCAGGCTTAGGAAGAAGGGAGGCCCCCAGAGAATGAGCACTCAGTGCTTAGATCCTCCTCCCTAGACCTTACTGTGAAGAGTCTGGCTACGAGAATTCTGATGGCAAAACTGAGGCACAGAATATATACCTTTCAATTCTCACACCTTAGATTTGTTTGCCTGGGAATGTATCTCCCTATTCAGCCCCCACTGAACCCCACATAACATCCCATAGCATTCTCGAAGCCAGCCCCTCCCTGTGAGCACATGAACACACACGGAGAAGCACAGCCCAGTGCCGTGGGGAGCAATCCTGCCCGGCCTCTGTGGACCCTTTTATCCCCTTGTCCCTTTTCTTTTTCAGTCCTTGAGTTTGGCCACAGGCCAGCCTGGCATTCTCCTGACGAACTTGCGGCTTTCATTTGTTAATTATTCCAAATATTTCAGAAGGGCTCACACACTGCAGGGCAGGAGGGTTGGGGCCTTACTGAGCCCATTTCCCTTTACACAGAATACGGAAGGGGCTCCCCCAACAAAGCTTGTACTCCACACCACCTCCCCCACATTACCTACCCCACCCTCCTTCCTGGCCACAGCATTAGAAGAACAAAGCAGGCTCCAGCCTTCTCCATTAGCCCCTTAGAATCAGCCTCCAGCCCTGGCCAAGGTGGACATACCCTGACAGTAGGGCGAGTTACTGCCTGCCCCGGGCCTATCCTGAGAAAAAGAAGGGCAAAGTCAGGGGGAGACAGGACCACCCCTGGATGAGTACAGGCCAAAGAAACAGCACAATGAAGTATGTGCTCTTGGCTACACTTGGCAGTTGCTCAGGACTCTGGAAATTTCTATGCACAGACTGCACCCTAGACCAATTAGACCAGACTCTTATGGGACCCAGCATCGATATTTTCTTTTAAAGTCTCCATATGTTGGAGATTGGAGAGATGGCTCAGTGGTTAAGAGCACTATCTGCTGTTGCAGAGGCCCCTGATTCAATTCCCAGCACCCACACAGTTAACAACCATCGTAACTCCAGTTCTAGGGGAATCCAACGCCCTCCTCTGACCTCTGTGGGCATAGCACAACACAGATGCACTTACACACATGCAGGCAAAACACTCATACACATAAAAAAAAAATAATAAGCCAAAAACGGGCATGGTGGCGCACACCTTTGATCCCAGCACTTGGGAGGCAGAGGCAGAACCTTAATCTCAGCTAACCCATGATCTGTTAGAATACAGCTTGGTGTGGTGGCACATGCCTTTAATCCCAGCACTCTGGAGGCAGAGGCATGCAGATCTACACAGGGAGTTCCAGGTCAGCTGGGGTTACAGTGAGACCCTGTCTCAAAACAAAACAAAACAAAACAAAACAAAAAGGACACATGCAAATCCCAGTACCACCATCAAAATCAGAAATTCATCAGCATGATCATCCCAACTCCTCCACAGAGCTCTGCAAACTGAGCCTCTTTCTATACCAGCATCACAGGCCAAGAACTTATGATGCCTTTGCATCATGCTGTGTGACCTTGAGCTCAGGACTCGGGTTCTCGGAGCAGGTTCCTCCACACACTCAGAAGTTGAACTGCTGGATCATATGGCAGTTTCGTGCTTGATTTTTTTGTTTGTTTGTTTTTTTGAGCAGCTATTTTGTGTTCTATCTCCCTCAGCAGTGCACAAGACTTCTGATTTCTTCACAACATTCTCAACACTTAACTTATGGGTTTGTTTTTATTTTTCTATTTGTTTTGTTGCTGTTTGTTTGTTTGGACCCAGGGCCTCACACACTATAGGAAACCACTCTACCATCAAGCCATATACTCAACAGGTTTTTGTTTTGTTTTGTTTTATATGGTGTTGTTTTGGGCCTTTTTTGAGACAGGATCTCCCTGTAGCCCCAGCTGACCTGGTACTTGCTGTGTAGACCAGGCTGGCCTCAGTTTTACAGAGATCCACCTGCCTCTGCCTCTGCCTCTAGAGTGCTGGGATTAAAGGTGTGCACCAACACACCCAGCTGTTTTTGTTTTTTAAATTTTGAGACAGGGTCTCACAAAGTCACTCCCGCTAGCCTTGAACTCACTCTGTAGCCCAGGGAGGCCTTGAACTTTCCATTCTTCCTTCCAACAAACTTAGATACCAGGCCCTCACTACCAGCCCACTTTGTAGATTGCAAGCCCCATTTTTTCAAGGACCAGTCCCTGAACCTTTCCATTCTCAAGTACTCGGGGGAGCCTTCTCCCAAAACAAGGAGCCAACCCTCCAGTCCCCAGTCCCCAAACTTCCTGCTTTCCCCCTTTCTCCCTCCCCCACATACTCCAGCTCCACCAGTTAGGAATGTGACATCAGAAGAAAGGCTTGGACTTTGCCCCCCTCACTCTTGGAACAAAATACTTCCTGTTCCACAAGCTGCCTTGGGGTCTAGTGGCTGTCATCTGGAAGTCCCCTGGGGTACTCTTTGTCACTCATAATGCTCTCCTGTAGCAAACTGGCAGGCCCCCTGCAGAGCTGAGCTAGACCTGGAGGGCCCAGAATAGGATTCACCCTCCCCCTATCCCCAGCCCTGGGCTTCACACAGACACCCATCCCTCCCCAGCTGGCTTGTGAAGAGGGCAGCAGAGTGGGAAGGAAGTGGGAGCTGGTCAGGAGTCAGGTGCTGCTCCATCCTGGGCTGAGACTCAAAGGTAAACAGGTGTATTTGGACTCCTGCAGGGGGTAGTAGGCTGGCCCTTTGGGACAGGCCTGGGCCTGCCCTTTGGGATGGGGAAGTGGGGCCTAGTTAACAATGGGATAGGACAGTAGCCCAGGTCCTGCTGACACATTCTTGTGTGGGGAGAAGGAAAACACAGGTGACACCTGAGGGGGGGAGGGGAAGATGTCAGGCAGGGAAGGGGCCTTTGGTTCTAAGCAGTGTGAACCACAGAGTGGCTGGAGATGAAGTACACAGAAGCCCTAGGGGGGCCAAGGGGGTTGCCTTCCTCCTGAGGGACATGTGTCCATCTCCTTCTGCTTCTTCCAAGTGGGACAGGTCAGAGCCACCTGGACAGGCGGGCAAGCTGGGGCCTGAATGTCCCCTGTGAACAGGCCCCCAGAAGCCAACTAGCCTGAGCAGGCTAGGCAAGGACAGGTGCAGGGTGTGCAGTAACCAAAGGGGAACACCTGGGGACTCTTCCCTGCTGGCCCCTCTGGCTCGCCCTCAGTCCTTAACAGATGTGCCCAGCCCTCCATCTGCTCCTATCTAAGGCAGGGTGGGAGGCTGAGGCAGGATTGGAGCATGAGGTCCAAGGCCCAACTGTCTTTCTCGCTGGAGAGGCAGTTCAGCTGAGCTCCCAGAAAAGCAAGCCTCCCAGGAATCAGATAGAGCCTTCATCAGCCCACCCTGTCCACACCCACATCCCTGAAGGTCTTCTGAAGCCCAAGACACCAGCAGCTCTCCCAGCACCACTGTTTGTCCATGGAATTGAGCTGGGGCCAGGAAGTTGCCAAATGTTTGCTCCTTGCCCAGCCCCACTCATGGGCTCTCCCAGTACCCCTGTCCCCCAGGATGCCCTGCCCCCTTGCCCTGTTCCCACATAGTGTCAAGCTTCCTTCCAACTTTCCCTAAGCAAATAGTGTCTCAGCTGAGCCAAATAGGGTAAAGTCAAGTAAAGAGTTTCACATACCCCATCCCTACACGGCAGAGTCCTGTGGGCAAGATGAGCTATCTATCCTGCCCAGTCCTACATAGGAAGCATCAAACATGGTGGCCAGCTTGTTGAATACTGAATGAATGTGTGATGTATGAATGAACAAATTGCTGGATGAAAAACAGCAAAGTAGCCTTGGCAAAATGCTCTCAGTAACAGACACCAAGGGGTTTCCACGGCATGGGCTGAGGACATTCCTAAAACTTTGAAAGCTATGGCTTGACCTAAGGGCGTGCACAGGCTGGGGCAAAGGCATTCCAGGTCCAGGGAAAATGTGCAGGCAAACCCTATGTGCCTTGTGGAAGCCGAGGTAGAGGCCTATTTGTTGACCTTGTATATCTGGGTTCTTTGTGGAAGAGGCAGTGGAGGCCTTGAATGTTGACTGAAGCTGCCCTGCTCAGGTTCTGGGGAAGAGGTAAGCCAGGTGAGTAGGGAGGAAGGCTCACTGGAGGAAAGGAGGGAGGTAGGGACTCATCTCTACCTGCTCCTTCTGGTCTCTAGTTCTCCTGGGAGGGAGTGGGAACTACAGAAGACCAAGAGACAGGGCTGGTGTGGGGAAGCCACTCCATCCGAACCCACAGGGTCAGCAAGGGAGCTCTTCACCCATTTGTATCCCCACCACAAGGTCACCAGGACAACTGTGCCCAGGTCAGCTGTCCTCATTTAGCCCCATCCCACATGCACCTGGATAGGACAGGGCCTGAGGCTTTTGAACCTGACACCTCTATGACCCTGGCTGACCAGGCCCAGAGGCCCAACATTCTATGCCAAGGATAGGGGAGACCC